CCGGAACCCAGTCGCGCCTGCGGAGATAACCATTTCGGGGTTAATGCTGGGTGCATATTCCGGGATTTTCTTCCGCAGTCCCGCTGTGAAAATAACCTCGGCTACGGCTAGAAAGATCGAACCGCCAAATGTCTGGCTGAAGGTCAGAATGGCCATGGCCGTAGAGATCTGGTTCGGTGGTACGGCATTTTGAATCGCAATCATGGGCTGCAGATATCAGGTGAGTGTGTGGATAGAGAGATCGGACTGGACATGTACGTACCACCTGAGTCGCAGCGCCGCGACCGAATCCGATAAGGGCTTCATATCCCGCCCAGTCTCGTACCGCGGTGGTAGGAGAGAGTGTCCCAAGGAGACCACAACCGATCGGGGTCAGAATGGCACCGAAAATACCCCAGGGAAGGTAGTATCCTAGTTTACCAGCTAGAAGTTGTTAGCGGGATAAACGATCGGAGCAGGTCTGTCACCACTTACTAAGTATGCCAGATGCTACTGCCATGACCAGCTGGCATAAGATTTGGGGAAGCAAGTCGACACCACTCGTGAGGGCGGATTTGCCTCGCACAGACTGGAAGTAGATCGGCAAGTAGTATGCCATAATCATGGTCATCCCAAACATCATGCTCATCGCCATGCAGCTACACCAAATAATTCGCTGTTTCACCATCTGTCCTGGGATCATGGCTTCATCGCCCATTCGCCGCTCCCAAAGCCCAAAAACGAAAAAGGTTGCCGCAGAACCGCAGAATAGCCCAATGATGGTTGAGCTCTTCCAGGCGAATTTGCTTCCACCCCATTGCAGGGCCAACAGCAACTGAATGGCAGCTGGCGCAAATAGCACAAATCCGAATAGATCGAACTTCTTCAACAGGACCGACTGGAAGACCTCTCCAACCTTTGGCTTGCCAGGTGGCTCGGGGATGCTGGTAAAGACAAGTAGAATGGCGACAAGGCCTCCTATAGGTAGATTGATATAGAAGCCTACTCTGGTTAGATGAAGTCATGTCATCAGACAGGTATTTAGTGACTACTTACACCATCGCCAAGTCGAATACGTCGTAAATGCACCACCAATCAGTGGGCCAAGTACCAACCCAAGTTGAGAAACTGTCAGTGTGTTAGGATGCGTTGAAAGGCGCTGAAAAAGATCTACTCACATCCCATCATGATGCCCATGAATGTCGGTCTCCGATGCATCGGAAGAGAACTAGCTATAATGTTAAGCGCGCCGTTGACCATGCCTGAAGACCCCATTCCAGCCACTGCGCGCCCAACGATCAGCATTTTTGATGAGGTGGCAACACCGCATATCAGGGATCCCAGCTCGAACACGCCGAAGAAGCTGAGGAAAGTCCACTTTTGCTGGAAGTTGCTATAGAACTTGCCGGTGAGCGGCTGTAAGGAGGCGCTGGCTATCGTATAAGCGCTACCGTACCAGGCGACGTCATCGAGAGAATGAAATTCACTGGTGATATGAGGGATGGCCTGAGCGGTCAGCACAAGAACGCCCTGGTAGGAGCATCCAGATTTGTATGGCAGACAGCTTACCGTAGAGACAATCGATACATCCAGCAACATCAGAAACACCACCAGCGTGACCGCACTCACTACCATCACCAAGGCAATACCCTTGATCCATTTGGGCTCATCAGGCTTTGAATCGGGGGTTCCCCTGAGGGTTTCAGCCCTCGGTAGCTGTACATCTTCCGCCGGACTCTTCTCGCTGACGCTGACTGATTGCGCAGGCAGTGTGGTTTGACTATGTTTGGCGGCATCCATGATGAAGAAGGGCCTTTAACCTCAGTATTGGTGAACGAAACATTGCCATCGATGGGCAGCAGCCCCAGGGAGATAAATACTATGCAAGCGATTCGGGGATATCAAGCAAAAGGCTCGGACTTAACCAAGTGAATGGCGAAGACACGGGAATCGGCGCTTATGACCTCCGTTTTCACCAGTCAGAACCTTTTGTTAGGGGTATCGACCACGGGAAAATGGGGCCGTCTCCGATGGCTGGCAGCCCCAAAGTCAGAGCTAGTGTTCCGCTGTTCTGCATGACCGTGAGTCGACACGTCGTGTTGGTCTCTGCCTAGTGGGGCTTTTTTGCCGTGGTTTGTCAGAAGGACGACTCACCCACCAGGATTCTCCCCTCCGTCGACCGTCCGTCTCCATCCCATGTGGACGGAGATAAGGCGGCTTGAGACCCTGATCGGGGTCGGAGCGGGAATTCCCCACCCCTCGGCGACGATGAAGCTCGAATCTACGTTCATCATATCATCCATGATCACACCGCATTTCGTAGCGTTGCAGATGTCGCGCATGGCTGGAGATGACATGTTGTGTGGCAGACAACTATTTTGATTGAAGAAAAGGATATGACTTGTTCTATCCAGCCACGGTGCGGAGCAAATTCGTGGGAACCACGTTGATCTGAATCAAGTGGTCGACTGTTGAGCTGGTGCAAGGTCGAGACCGCCCCACGTAGTTCAATTCAGGAGCGAGAACGAAGCTTGTGCGGCCAACGCCCGACGGACGGGACCGGAGAACAGGCGCAAGTCATGTGCCGCCCTCCCGATCCCGATGGGACTGACTCATCCCGCTATCGGCACGTGAGGGGGGAAATCACATCCAAGCCATCCACCATGGCAGTCCAAGACCACTGGGGCTGTCGCCAGGAACCTTGTTATCTCTGGCTGGCTGCAGTACGTCATCTGAGTGGCCTGCCTACTGTCCTCATACCGTGAAGCTGTCAGAAAGCTTCCTCGGATCACTCCACCGCGCATTGCCCAGCAACCCACCATCCCAGCACCGCGTCGCGGGGCTGACCCGAGTGATTGATCGATCAATCGCAGAGACCAGCCTGTGGTTTGGGCTTCCTCGAAGTATCTTGACTTCCGGTACCATGCCATCCTCCGCCCCCGTGCCCGCGACGGGCTTCCAGGCCCTTATCCTGTGTGGTCCTGGTGTCTCTCTCAACACCTTCACATCCAACCCTGAGGAGTACCCGAAGAGCCTCATTCCTATCGCAAATCGGCCCATGGTATTCTACCCTATCGACTTTTGCAAGCGGTCAGGAATCACTGGTATGAATTCCAGATTGGTGTCCTGAACAGGAAAAAGATATTATAGATGGTCATTTGTAAACTAACACCTCTCCCGTGGTTACTTAGATATCACTTTGATAACACCCCCGTCCTCCGTCGCTCCACTACAGGCCGCGCTCAAGCAAAACCCACATCTTACATCGCTCCCCTCACCCTCCGTATCAGTGGTGGCCCCGATGGATCTCGAGATGACCATGGGCACTGCTGAGCTGCTCCGTCTACCCGAGGTCCAAGACTGCATCAAAACAGACTTCCTCCTTCTTCCCTGCGACATTATCTGTGACATTCCTGGTGAGTCTATTCTCGAGGCATGGATGGTTACCCAGAGCGCTCTGGGGGGTAATAACTCGGGTCCTGGGGGTGAGCAAGGGGGTCGTCGCGGCGGGCTTGCCGTGTACTATCAAACGCAAGGCCGAGAGGAGAGCGTTAAAGGTGAAGCAACCGACTTTGTGGCCATCGCGCCGCTCGAGCAGGATGAGGCACCAGCAGTATCGCACCTAGTTGATGGGCCAGCGGCCCTACGATTCGGCCTGTCGAAACTGGTCATGTCAATGCCCATGGATACCGTGAAGGAGAAAATGGAGCAGGACAAAGGCTTCCTGATTCGCCATTCATTAGTCGATAAGCATGCGCAAGTCAAGATGTTGACAAGCTACCGGGATGCACATCTCTACGTCTTCCCATATTGGGTCAAGGATTTGGCGCGCCATCAGGAGAAGCTGGAGTCAGTAAGTGAGGATCTCATTGGTTACTGGGCCAAAGCTGGATGGCAACAAGGCCTAGGCGACAAGCTAGGAATGAACAAAATCTTCCAGGATCACAATGACCATGAGAATCGGAGTCATGATGGCGAATTGTTGGACGAAGAAATTGATCTCCAGGACATTAGCTCTACCAAGACTGGGACCCAAACTTCGAAGTCGAGTGAATATCCCCAGATACTCGCCTATGTGCAACGAGGGTCTATCCCATTTATTCGACGGGTCGATAGCTCCGCGATCCTTCTTTCAACATCACTTCGGCTGGCCAAGCTAGAATCCATTGAGGAGGTTGGCCGTCAAGCAGCATCGCCTCTCTCGCATAACCAGAAGATTGCCTATCCCGAGGGGGTAGCCCAACGCTGCACTGTTACAAAGAGTGACTGTCTCCTCGCGGAGAACGTTACTGTGGAACCGACCTGTGTTATCAAAGAGAGCGTCATTGGCCCCAACTGTCATATATCCAGCGGCGCACGGCTCACTCGCTGCGTGCTGATGGAAGGGGCTGTTGTTGAGTCTAGGGCTCAATTAACAGGCTGTCTGATTGGCCGACGGGCGCGGATTGGCCGTGAATCCGTGCTCAAAGACTGTGAAGTCCAGGATGCCAATGTTGTTCCGGAGGACACGGATGCTAAGAATGAGAAATTCATGGTGTTTGAGGGTCTGGATGACGGTGGGGATGATGACATGGATGATTTGGAGGAGTTTGACGATTAGAATTTGCTGATGACCAGTTTCGTATCCGTATATTTCACATACCCCTGCTATTGATGACGAGATAGATTATATGACTTGAGGATTGAAACCAATGATCCACAATTGATGATGGTCAACGAAGTAAGGTTTTCAATATTGGCATTTATCGGCTGCACATGGTCCTATCCTTATATAGACAACCAGTAGAAATAAGCAACAGCAGCTGTACGTCGACCCAAGGACAAGTAGCCTCGAGGTCAGGCCAAAGACAGTCCCTGAGACGGGGCTGCTTGTGGACGTCTTAGGCGTGAAGGTAGTCCAGCCCTAGCAACGGCCAGGACAGCTTGAAAAAAGAAGTTCATCTCAGACATAAATATAACAATAAATCAGCCAATAAGCCATGTGCGTAGCCGACGAAGTAGTAAAAAAATAAAAAGTAATATGCTCAACCTCGGGATCGAACCGAGGATCTTCTGTGTGTAAGCTGTCGGGGATAATTAGTTTTGTAGATGAAAGCGGGTGATGATGGAACGTACACAGACGCCTTAACCGCTGGGCCAGTCGAGCAACTACAGAAATACGTCTATAATCTTTATATAAGTAGGCATTGAACTGGAACCTACTGGTCATCAGAGATATCTTAGCCAACAACTCAGCTCGTAGCGATGTGCTAAGTTGAATTGAAAGCTGGTTAGCTCAGTATGGTGAAGATAACAAGTAAGAACAGACATAATGAGGCGGGTTTCTTGGAAGTCAATGCATAAGAAGCAAGGTAATGGTGTAAGCTCCATCCCGGAATAAAGCTCCGTGAGGCTGCAGCAATTTCATATTTGCACACATTGAACAGGAAAATGCATCTCAACATCGCAGCCTCCATCCCGCCTAATGACCCATTGTATATTTACAGCTATTCAGACATTATTGTCACTTACCAGGCTTTCATGATCGGATACTCTTGCCTAGATGCCTTGGTGGGGTTCGGTCCCTCTTATCGAGGGCACTCTCATCGACAGCTCCCACCAGAGACGGAGAATTGATGACTTCCTGATCGAAGACCGTGAACTGAAAAATCTTGAAATCATCGACAGTCACGGAAATATGTTATATAACTAATCTATACTATGGAGAGGTCATGGGATAAGAGTGACCTTGACTACGTGGGTGCCTGCCGATGGTCTCCTTTCCGAATGCTTATTCCAGGACGAACGCCGAAGTCGAAAGAAGAGCAGCGAGTTTTTAAAAATAAATATTATCGCGGACGCAGGAAAAAGTTGACCGTTTATCAGAAGGCCGCTTTCAAAGCATGGACCGAGCATTATAAGCCGATTGCTGCTGAGCACAGGAAAAGATGGAAGAAATAATATAGTGCCAGGATAAAGCAAAGGGTGGGAAAATGCGTTTGCAAGGGAGACAACGTGACGAATCTAGAGAACCGATGTTCCTTCTGCGGAGAGCCAGGGTATCATATTGGGAGTTGCAAGGAATCCGGTGCGATACTATTCAAGTAACCCCAAGGTGTTCATTGTGCCGAGAAGTGGGACAAATATGAGTCGTTGTCCTCGAAACCCACGATCATCCAGGTGGTTGTGAACTATGCTTATTCTTTGCAGATAGCTCTTAGGTAAGATTGCCTGCATTGGAATGTTTTTCTCACACTTACTATCTATAGTCCAGTACGTAAGGCCTTTCTCTGGTGATCCCACTACATATTTGTGATTCAGGTCATGGGCGCCTTGTCTGAAGATAATCTCTAGAAACCACATAGATGAAGTGCTCCCTATAGCTATATTTCCTTAGCCCTTTCTTCGTCATAAAGGTTTTAGTTACTGATTACGCCAGTAGTGGCCAGGTAATTAGCTCATGGTTCAACCGCTCCTACATCATCGGCCTCGCCGATCAGGCATCGTTATTTGAGTTGCTGTTATCATGAATCACTGCTTTTTACAATATCATATCTTTCATCTAGGATCCTACAGCAAATGATGAAAAACGAATCGGTAGCCCGTGTCGGGGCCAACCTCTACATCTACCGACCGATGATCTTTGACCACCCAGTCTGCCCCAGCAGCCTTCAATTCTTCCACGGCATGTGTCGTCGCAACAGCCAAAACCTTACAGCCGGCGGCTTTGCCCGCCCGTATACCTGCAGGGGCATCTTCCATGACCAAAACATCCGTGCATCCTCCATCGATCTGCGAAAGCAAAAGCTTGGCCCGTGCCTTGGAATACCCTTCCGGGTCAGGCTTTCCGAGCTTGACATCCTCTGCCACAGTGGCCTCCTGGGGTTGTGGGAGCTGAAGAACCTTCAACCATCCGTCTAGAAGTGCCTTTGTTCCCGATGTCACGATAGCATTGGGAACCTGGTATTTGTCCAACGATTCGAGTAGCCTGCGGGCTCCGGGGATTTCGACAGCAGGTGTTTTGCAAAGAAAGGGAACTCTGGCTTCCATGGCGCTGACATCTGCGAGAAGTAAACATCAGTCATACACTGGGAAAAGGAAGAATGCCAGCATACATTCCCAGTTCGCCTTCGTGGGATCTAGCTGTTGCAGCACATCGATACTGCGTCTTCCGTGTGATGTGCGAAGGATCTCCTGGTGGTCGATTCCTAGTTCAAGGGCGACTCTGGATTCCGTGAGTATGTCTGAATCCTTGGTTTTGTGGTTTCTGAGCATACCTCTTCCAGTTCTCCACAATAGCTGCTCAAGTGTCAGGCGCTTGGCTGTTGTAGAGGTAATTGAGGGGCTTACCCTCCGTCGAATCGATTATGGTGCCGTCGAAGTCTAGAAGGACCCCTGCGAACACATGTGATGCACTCCCCCCAAGTATGTTATTCTCATGAGACATGATGAAATATCGTAAATGAAAGATTTAACGATTGTGGCTAATCATTTCTTATCGGCCAGGCGCGCTGCTATATACTCGAGCGGAAACTTACTCAAAATGGAAACCTGCCGACCCGCCACCAATAGCACCGAATTCGGAAATCGACCCGACATGCCCACCGAACATCCAGATTGGGAGAACTGCTTATAGACATAGGGCTCTCTCTTGAAATGTGGGACCAATCATTCCATACTAGAAATCCAAAGCCTGTATCAACAAATGGTTTGTCGCATGGAATTACAGATTATCATGATTCAGATACCCAAGCATCATACCACGTGCTCAAAATCTCTCAGCGGTTTCTGCGCTGCAATGACCAAAACATCAAAGATCGGATGGATGTCCTTCTGCATTGACTCGCGGCGGACTCCAGCATTCAGTTCCATCACCTCCCCATGGTCCCACCCCAGAACCTCCGTAAACAGCGCAGCAGTAAATGCCTCGACGCCCTCCACAAAGTTCCCCCGCATGAAGCTACCACACTCCTTCAACCGTGTATCCTTCGGCCAGGGACCGATTGGAAGCTTAAACTTGAGCTTATGCACCGTGCTAAAGCCTGCATCATTTACCCACGTTTCAAACGAAGGTGCGGGGTCCATCGTCTGCCCGATCTTCTCGCAGGCCTCTTTTAGCCCATCCATCATCTTGACCATATAACTATCGGGTTTGAGGCTCTCGTCTTCCGAATAGAGAGTATTGATGGACTCTTGGAGCTCCAGCCATCCACCCGGTTCGAGGTTGTTATAGCATTGCCGGATCAGCCGTGGCCAGTCTCGAATCGACCCGGCCATGTACCGACAGTGGATGTAGTCATACGGCTCCGACTCCACCCAATCCTTCTCCACATCGTCAAAGATGAACTGTACATTTGGCGGAACCCAAGATGGTTGGGTTGGACTGATATCGGTTCCCACGACCTTCTCAACACCTGGATAGTCGTCCCCCATTTGAATGGCCCAGATTCCCGTTCCGGTGCCGATATCGAGAATCCGCTTTCCGTTGGGGTTCATCGGAGCCAGAAAGAGCCGATCATTCACCAGCCTGTAGAAGATGTGATGGATCATATCGAGTCGATCCTGCTCGGGTTGGTCATTGGGGAATGGGTAGTTCCCCATGTGGTGGGCATGATAGCGACGGCCATGCTTAAATTCGTATTTCAGCACACTAGAACTCAGCGACGTGGTCGAGGATTGTGTGCCCGTGCTGATTTCATCTTCGGCATCTACCTCGATCGGGATATCGGGTTCGGATTGCATCCTTGCAGAGGGTTGCGACCGACGGACTGACGGCTGTTGTGATTAAGGCCACATGTTAGTCAGAGGGGAGACCCAAATTCGCCGGAGGACAAGAATGATCGGGTGTTTTATCTTGGGACGGGGCAAGACCGCACTAGTGCTGAGGTTACACACACTTCGCGTCCCGGACGGCAACCGATGCCGATGAACTCCGACTAACGCCTGCCATGGCGGTTAGCGCTGATGGTGGACCACTTCAACGGTCGAGGTGCAGCTAGTTTCCTGGCATGGCGAATCAAAACTCATCTACGAATGGTAAGCCCCGGAGATATGCTAGGAAGGGATGATGGTCCGACATTTTTGCAGAGTGCTACTACATATCCCTTGTATCAGAGGTGACGCTTTAATCCAACGCCATATGATCTATTGTCTCCCATACTCCGGAGACGGTTCATCATCCGAGATTTCACTGACAACAGCCTTGATGGAGCTAATACATGGCAGTTGATAACCATCAATACTTGGGCAATGCCTCACTGGGTCGTTCCCTTGTCTCCCCCCTTACACCCTACGAGCCCAAAAAGACAGGTTTCTTCTTTCCAAAAATAGCCTGTCTCTTCCTAACTTTCGGTGACTCATTTTTCATGAAGCAAATCTGATCCATTATCAGGCCGTGGCGGTTGATGTTACATGGCGAATGCTTGGTGTGATTCACGAAGTTCTGTGGCTGTCTTTCCCACCGTGAAGATAAGACTGCCATGAAACCACCAGGCACATCTTCCAAGACATCGCGTGACAAGACTGCCAGCGTCCGTTCCATTATCGATTTTTCCCTCACCAGTGTATTAAGCACCTTATTTGGCAAATGCTAGATAAGATAGCTATCATACACACCAGACTGTGAAAGAAACAATTCATCAGCGGTAAATGATGGTCAGGTTGTGTTCATCCAAATGACCACCAGTGACGAGCCAAATTGACTCGGGCGCTAGCCATTCGCCAACTTCAGTGACGGACCACCCATCCGTCACTCCCACATATTTGTCCATGACTCAATTCACGACCGACATTCTATATAACCCTGACCGCCCGGCTTTGACTCTTCTCTCTCAATCCACCTTTACCTACCCGCCTCATGTCCCATACCCAAGTTGACACATCCACCTGGTCACTACATTCGAATCCGCATTATGTAGTGGGAATGGGGACTGAACAAGGGTGGATTGGTTCTACTTATGTTCTTTCAGGCACCCAGCGTTGTACATCAACATCTCTGTGCCGTGCCTTCGAGCCATCATATACCTTTCACTTTTGTCTTTATCAAGATTCAAACACCGTTAACTCGTCGTCTTCCATACACGGTAAGGCGCAACTCACTAAGGCACAAGATCAAATGGTTTCTCACTTGATATGAGACGGAAGTAACACTTTCAGAAAGTGCCACTA